GTTCACAGTATTGGTGATTCTGATGTACCCTTTCAATAAGTAGTTTGAAATCTTTCTTTTTTTGAAAATTTTCTTGAACCTTTTTTTGTTACGTTCTGTTCTCTTGCTTCGGTTTTCTTCACCATAAAATCTTATTATATGCATGTGGCATCTGTTTTGCCTCACTTTTCTATTTGCCAGTTTTTCTCAAATTCTTTCAATCTCTTTTTAAATATTTCTTTAATTTCAATTTTTTCTTTTTCTATATTTTGTTTTCCTTAAGGCATTATTTGTTGTATTTTTATTCTTGTATTTCTCCCAGTTTCATGTTCATTTCTGAAAATAATTTTTCTTTTATTTCTAAGTATTTACTGAGTTCTATCACTTAAGTTCTGAATTTTTCTAATTCTTATGTCGTTCTTTCATATCTTGTGTCATTTGCTAAATGACTGTTAGCTCATTTTGAAATAGTTTTCATGCATGTCTTTCTGCTGCACTTTTTTTTATTTATCTATGGGGATGTTATTCAGACCTTTATTCTCTTTTTCTGCATAATACCCTTTTGTGGTATTTGAATTTGATTCCTTATTTTGCTTATTTTTCTGTGAAATGAAGTTTTGTGAACTTTTAGAAGGAGGTGTGGGTTCAGGATTATTTTTTCTTAATTTCATTTTCATGGGCCAGTGTTCTCTTTTTTTTTTTGAGTGTTCAAAAATATAGTAGCTCACCTTGTGAGGTTTACTGGAGCACTTTTCTTTACCCCTTTGTTTCCTGACCCTCCCTTTTTCTTCACTGCTGTTTTTCCTATTGTGCTCAGTTTGGAAACTCTTCCCACCGGTTACTCTTGCATGCAGGGAATTGTCCTGGAAGGGAGCTTTGGCTTGTTAATGATGCAAGTTCATTGGACCCAGACTGCATCAACCTCCAAACCTCTCCAGGACCCCTTTATTCACCTGCTTTTGGGGTACACAAAATCATCCTCCTCTCAGGTTTCATTTTCCATTTTGATATTTTTGGGTATGTCAGAAGCCCCATTTCTACCTTCTGCTTCCTCCTATTGGATGCCAATATCACACAGGTCCTGTAACTTCGGTCATTGATCCCCACCTATTCTTAGTTTGAGACTTGTGGAGATAACTTGTCACTTAAATTTACTGAGCATATTTGTCTACGTGCTTTTGACTTTGCAAAGAACTTTTCTTTTTCACTCCTGTAACTATCTCCTCAGAATCTGTGAGAATTTTTTTGAACATGAGAGGCATAAGTAACAATTTTCAGGCCCATTTTTTTCTCCCCTAGAGATTTTCTCATCCCTTATCAATCTTTGAGAATTAGGGTTTAATTTCATTGAAAATTTCTTTACGAAGCGTTGCAGTGGTATTTTGTGAATCTCTTTTTACTCCATTTTTCCAAATAAGGAAAACTCAAGTTCATAGCATATGTATCCATTTTGCCTCATGAAAGATATAGAGAGAAACAGCAGAGCTACTGACAGCAGGGCTAATCAGCTAAATGAGGGAGAAACCATTTCAAAATTATCAGATAAACCTTGTAACAGAAGAAAGACATTGGGTTTCTATGTCTGATGGGAGCTGACAAGGCCAGGACTTGGAGTCATGCTCATCTCCAGACAATAAATTTGCAGAGCAACTTAAATTCACAAGTACCTGGATTTATGCCAGATTTTATTAAACCATGATTGTTAATAGTTCAATGTTGGTGAGAAAAATATCAAATTATATGTTCTTATTTGGATTTATTTAAAATATCTAACATATTTTATATGGGTAAATTAAAACTCATTTATTGATATTTTTATTAATTTAATGATGGAGTCCATTGTTCTGGGAAATGCCATCTAGATTTTATAGGAAATGTATGACAATTAGAAAAAAGATAAAATTCTCTTTTTATCTGATATACAAGGGGTCCCTATGGGGACCCCTTACATTTGTGCATTGTGATCAGAGGCCAGGGTTAACCATTTGTCTGCTAATGGCAGCTTACAAAAATCCAGTATTATTGCTCAGGAAGCACCAAATTATCCTACACAATAAATGTTTATTATTTACATACTGTATGCCAGACACAGAACAAGCCTTTCAATGTCAAAGAAAATTAAGACATGGACTCTCTCTTCAAATATCCTATGGGAAGAAGGCACACACATCAATACATGTACAAGTGCAGTGAAAATGTTTACTAGATGAGGTGATTCCATTTATATGGCTGCAAAGGTGTCAGTGGAGGCTCATGGAAGTGATATCTGATGTGATTTTGAGGAATAAATACAAATATTCAGGTCAGGCCTAAGGGTAAAGGCCTTGTTGCTAGAGAGAACAAAAGGTGTGAAGGCACAATGGTATAAGGGAAGATTGAACTTTAAGGGAAGTGCTGGTTTTCAAAGGTAATAAGTTAGAACATCTAGTCTCATAAAAAAGCTTATGTACCAGAAACTAAATGGTTCTTATTGGTCATCTCCTTCCCTAGCAAATAAAGTTTAGCTGTATAACCTTGATCTTTATAATGAAACTGGTCCAAAGTTGACTTTGGGTTAGTTATCCACACATCACTTTCTCACTTCTTTATTTAGGAAATTGACAATATGTCTTTATATAAGTACTCTACAGGAGAAGAGATCCAGGTTTATATTTGAGGAGTCTTGATCTAATAAAGAAGTCATCCAGATGTAAAACGCCTTTGCCATGCTTTTTTTTTTTTTTTTGACTCCCCCCTTATCTCCCCTGTGACCAATTCATTATTTTATGAACTTTCTATAAATAACTAAGAGAGAAACAAATGAGGAGGAATACTACCCCATCTATCACTTGTTAGCAGTTCCAGGACAATTTTTAAAAGGTAGAACATGAAAATATTGCCTAAGATTAGGTTGCATTGTGTTTGTGGATCTCAGTCATGCTTCCTCTTTGCATGTTTCTATAGATAAAGAGTTAGGAGAGTTGGCTGTGATGTTGGTTTTCAATATATTAATTTCTAGAAAGTAATTATCTAAGTCTACATAGTTATGAATGATGGGTTAGGCTCAACAGGATATTTTAAAAACCATATCCAGAAGAATTAGAGACTTACAGACTGTGAGCTCTGAGAGAATAAATTCTTAAATCTCATCAAACAACACCCCTAACCCCGTCCCCTTTTCTCACCCAGGTCTAGATGACGAACTAAGATACAGGGTATATAAGTGACTCGTTCAAGGTTGCATAGTAATTTGATTTGTGTGCGTGCCTGTGTGCATATGTGTGTTATTTTCTCTTTTGCTTTATTTAATGGCTTAGACTAAGCAGGTACAAAAGTTCTTACACATATTCACCTGGTTCAGACATTAATTGATTTTTTTATAAGGTAGAAAAGCAGTAGAACACTAATCAGGAAATCTACCAAGATACCTTCATTTTCTTTCACTGGCAAATCATTTAAGTTACTCTTCCCCCTCATGAGAACAAACAATCAAATCAATTGGTGAACTAATAATAAATTATTGGGAAGCATTTAGCATGGGATTTATTTGCAGATAATTAAGAATAATTACCTAGTTTCAGTGGCCGTTCTTGATCATCTAGAGACAATTCGATACAATTAAAGTGTAAAATTACTTTACAAGTATTGACAGATTATCCAACTATAAAGTACGTGGATAGTAAATGTCTTTCAGTAGCTCCAAACACTTAAAATTAATAGAAAATATTGTGGCATTTTCCTGCATATTTCAGTACAATCATTTTGATTAACAGCCAAGATTCAGTTTACAAGTTGTGTTCTTGCTACAATATCTGAAAAAGTAAAAGGAATAAAAATAAAACATCCCAAATATGTAAGTGATGATTTGGTGACCTTAATTCAGAGACTTTCATTTCTCCTGTGGTTTAAGCATCTATGTTCCTCTTTAGATTTCTGAGTCTGGAATTGTGTTGCTGTGACCATATTTAATGGTATTTATTGAAAAACCACTATGTAAAATATATACCAAGATTTCCAGGGAATGACACGGGAAGTAGAAATCATGATATATCATGCACTCAAATTTATAAAGAAAGCAAAGAGCCAAGGTAATAAAGAAAGAATGACAATATTATAAGGGTAGTATAGCATATAAGTATATGTGTATGTGCAGATGTTTAGAAGCAAATCCTGTAGAGTAATTTCTGAGCATGGGTGGAAGGTTGCTCAGGAAGGAAGAGAAGAATTTATCATTATTATAAGAAAGACTGTCAAGGATGAAATCCTGATTAGTGTTCTATAGAAGGGGAAGGATAGGATTTAGGACAGTTGAAATGAGATTATTCCAGTAGGGAGAATTTGAAGTCCACTGTTGGTAGAGAAGTTGGATGAGATGTGGCAGGCAGGTTTACCTGGCTCAAGGGCATGATTTGAGTTGAGGCTATAAGAGGACATGTGTACCCATAGGTAAAGTAATATTTGTGAATCTTTGAAGTTCACATTTATACATTTATTTTGCTTGAAAGGGCAGCAGCTCATCCCCTGTGGATCAGAGGGCCTCCAAAATAAGCGGAAAGTTCTGGCATATTGGCAATGTTGATTTCATAACTCTCTATATACCTGTTTGTTCTGGGGTTTAAAAATGATTTTCTTATTAAAATGTCCTGTGTGGTTATTTCTATTGGGCTAGCCTATCTGAGGTCACAGGGACAGTGTCTTCCTTTTTCCATTCATTTAAACATTCAAAAGGCATTGATCTCTTGCTACATGGCAGACTATTTGGGAGTTCAGGTGTTTGTTTTTATTAAAATAGTCTCCATCTGCCTAATTATACATGGGAGATAGAAATGTAGGCTTCACCATAACACAGGAAAAGAAAGAGTTATCAGGTGAAAAAAAACTGAAAACTATTTACAGTGAATCACAGAATGGTTTTACTTTCTAAATGTTCTGTTTAACGCTCTCAATCCTCTCTTCTCTCTGCATGTATACAGATAATCAGTTATAATTTATCAAGTAACTCTGAGTCCTTTCTAACCCTGCCTGCTCTTTGATTTCTATAGTCATGTGATCCCCACACAATGCAGAGAAGAAGCCGCCATCTGCTGAGGCCCTCGCTGAGCTCAAGGATGTGTGCTGAAGACTCACAGGTGCGGCCTTGCCTCCTCAATGAAAATTGCTTCCAGTTCCAGTACAATCTAACAGGTACAGTTGAAATCTACAACCATGCCATTTCCCCTGAACATTGACTGATGGGAGGATGTTTGCTTGTGTTTTGATTCTCCAGATTAAGGACTGAAAGTAGAGTATGTGAGTGTATTGCGAGGAAGACTGAAGACTTGACATTTGCAGTGTCCCTTTACAGAAAGAAATGCCCACACTTGGCATGTAGATTCAGTAAGGCCACCTGGAATCTGAATTCAGAGATGCTTAGAAAGACTTGGCAAAGTTTCAGAATAAAGTTAAATTAAGCCATGATAAATTGAAACAACAAAAATAAGTAGCCGAGGATAATTTACCATTCAGGATAGAATGTAATCATGCTGTCATAGAATTGAGCTCTTTCATGGCCTTCATCATTTCAAGAAATTCAGGCTTGTGATGTACTTGCTCTATGGGTCTTAATAAGGATGAATGGTAGGTGGTTTTGGTAGGTGGGCGGGCATGTTTTCAAGGCACGGGGAATCACATCAGCCTCCTTATTCAGCCACTACTCAGGTTTCTCCAGGCACCAGAGCACTCAGTGTCTAATACCAAAGACTATTTAGTTACATTGATCTGCTACCTGCCATCCCCTGCAGTGGCAGATATACAAAATGCCACAAAATGTGGAACCATGTTAAGTCTCAGCATTGAATTCAATACTGACAACCAAACCACCACATGCCTGCAGAGGCAAACCAATAGCCTTTTCTGAAACAAATTCCTCCCTGAGGTCACAGAGGCACTGCTGAGAGTTCTCATGTAGAAGACCTCACAGTGAATTCTGTGGGGCTGTCTGATTGTCTTCATAGGTGAAAGATGACCTGGTGTATTTGCCCTTTTTCTTAGTTAAAGATACTTCAGATCCTTGTTTTTTATAGTAATTTTTCAGAAATACAATGAAATTTGCTTTACTGGAAGAACATGTCTTTAAAATACTGATTTTACTGTACATGGGTTTGCTATTTGTATTAAACTCTTAGATCATCTGCCAAATACGGAAAATCTCCTTAAAGAGGTTCTCATTGTATATGATCAAGGATCTTCCTTTCTACCCACACCAACAATAAGAGTTTGTTAAGAAGCAGATTAATTATGGGATAATTTATTCTAACTCCCAGCTGTCTAGTTTGTAATGCAGCTAGCCAAATCTATAAAACCTTCTCTCATGAGAGAATAATTTTATTAAAATTAGAGTTTCTGTAGCAATCCGTATGATTCTGTATATCTTGCCCTCTTTCTTCTCTGGGGTACCTCTCTTGGCTCCACTGTACCAAATGTACCAAATGGTTTAGATGATTGGATTTATTCCTTGAAAACATTTTCAAGTTTACATCAAATACTAGCATCATTTCAGCGTTATTTTATGTCTTAATTATCCCTAGGAAATAGATGATTTTAAACTAGTTTTCTTTCGCCATCCTGGTTAGTGTCTTTCCTTTCCTACCCAGCCAACTGTGAGATGGTTTCTAAAAAACTATTTGGCTTTTTACCTCAAGAAAGCAAACTTAGGAAGGTAACTCAGTTTTATTTGTTTGATTGTTTGTTTTGTAATAAAAGAATTGCATGATGCTTTTCGAAGCCACCTGGAAATGGTTTTAGGATTAGGTGCTCACTATCCTTCTCTGCCAATGCAGATAAGCAGAGGTTTGTTGTATTTTGCTCACATGGCCATAACTTTGAAACTCAGTGTGATGATCCTATGCCTGTAGAGTGGAGCACGTGCCAGTTGAGTGAAAATGCAACCTGTGGGCAAGGTATCAGGACCCGCCTTCTGAGCTGTGTGCGCAGTGACGGCAAGTCAGTTGGCATGGACGAATGCGAGCAGGTAATTTGTTTACATCTGTATCTCACGCCCAAGGCTTTGTGTTTCTTAATATTGGTCTGCAACATCCACAATCTTGACATAAATGACAGGCTCTGATTTCTTCTCATCGCAGCTCAGGTTCAGTTAGAGTAAGAGGTACTAGTATAGTACAGTTATATCTCACTAGTTTGAACTTAGTCAAAATGACCAGGAAAGGTCATTTGCCCTGGGGAAATGGGTTCACTTAAAAAAATTTATTTTTATTATTTTGAACAACTTATTTAGATGTACTTGCTTGCCAAAAATTATTGATATCGGGACTGTAACATTTAGATGTGACTTTGTATTGGGCAGCTGATTCATTAGCACATATGGTAAACACTGTCCCTGGAATATAAGATGAACACTGACATTTGCTATTAGAATTCTCTGCTAACTTGCTTAGCAAATGATTTGCTAGATAATTAGCACAGTTGTATTTTTCTTCTCAAGTTAAGTTAAAATGCCTCTCTACCAAGTTTCGAATTAGTGGATTCTGAATTTTTGTAATTTTATTGCCTCTTTTTTTCCTGTGACAAACTATATGGAGTTTGGACAAAAGCTGTTCCAAAGATCTTGGCACTTCCTTCCCAATGTGTAAGTGAAAAGCACTATGAGGGCAGTTTAATAGAAATGAAGATGACCATATGCTGTCACACTATGAGAAGCACCAAAACAACCTTTGGAATAAGTTGAAAATACGGGGCCAGTCAGCTGAGGTTTCCACAGAAACTTCTTTAACAAACTGGCAAAATGACAGTTGTACCATCTCTCCTAACATAGGTGGAGTCCACAAGTGGAAATTAAAACCAAAACAAAACCTTCCTCACCTATCCTGACTTACCTCTGTTAAGTACTGTGACTACATGCTCTCTAAACCAACAGTATAGCCATAGGCCAACCCTAAGACCAGACCATCTGAAATTAGATGTCACATTTGGTGAAATTCTGAAACTGACCAATTACAGGGCAGAGTTCTGTCTACCAAGAGTCAGTGATTTATTTTGACATTTCATTTCATTTCATCTGCCTCTCAAGAAGCTGTCTGCTTCAAGAAAAATAAATTGCCAATCAATAACAACTCCAAATCAGTGAAAATCTTACATTTAGTGTATATAGTAAATCTTTTCTTTTGATACAAAGAAAGATATAAACTATTTGTTAATAGAAAAATCAGTTTCTTTGCTTTCCAAATATCATATGTCCAACAAATATTTAAAGAATATTCAAGAAGTACTAAATTATTAACCTAACTAGAATATCTGTATATCGTGAATGGATCATAAATCCTGTATGATAATTTCTGTTTTGCCCCCTTGGCAAGTAATCATGCTATAATCATTAATTTTAGCTTGGTGTGGACATTACCAACATTTAACATGTGTTGAATGTCAGAGTTTTACTAAATAAGCACACAAAAAGTGTGTGATTCCTATAGCAGAATTTTTCATCATTCTTTCTGTGTTTCTTAGATGATTTATTGTTTCACCAAGACCTCTTCTACCTTGGGCAATAGAAAATTTGTACATTTTGCCTAGATGCTAGTTTCAGAGAGGACAAGAAGAAAATAAACTGTATCACCAACTTTGCCCATAATTAAGACCATGATTATGTTTTTAGCCTAATTAATCTTTTTAATGAACTTTAAATGCATTGTTGGTTTTGTTTTTATTCTTATTTATTTTTTAGCCTACATAGCTGTTAGTTTTGAGCTCTGTGTGTGCTATTGGACAATCCAAAAGTGTAAGGTGCCTGAATTTAGCACTGAGTTCTTCCTGCCTCCTTGCTGGCTGAGCAACAGGACAGATCCCTGTGTCATGTAACTGCCTGCTTTCCCAGTATTCTAATTGTAGGTCTATTCAAGAGTAGAGGATTTTATAAAAAGAAATTTGGGCTGACAAATTTCTATTTTGTGAAGTAAGGACAACCATTTTCTATGATTGCCTCCAATTTATATAAGAAAGAATATTTTTTCCCCACAAAAATGTAGAGATTATTATCGTAGAATAAAGGGCAGTGTTTCCCATAAAAGGATAGTGATTTGATTTGATTTGATAGTGATGTGATTTCTCCAGTAACATCATATTTTATTTCCATCTGCAGCGTAACTTGGAGAAGCCCCAGAGAATGAGTATTCACTGCCTGGTGGAATGTGTGGTCAACTGTCAGCTCTCCGGGTGGACAGCTTGGACAGAGTGTTCACAGACGTGTGGCCATGGAGGTATTTGGGTTCCCTATATTTGTTCCCACTAAACAGTTTAGTTTTTAAATATCTTTCAGTATGCTGTAGCTTGACAAATGGGCATAAGGCATATTGGCCAACTGAAGGCGACATGAGGCTGACCAGAGGAGAAGAGAGAGAAAACCTGCCCTCATGTCAGTCCTTTATGGGTAGACAGAGGTTTCAGAACTGACTTGATAACAGTGGTAGTTACCAGAGGGGCTGCTGGCCCTATAGGACAGTGTTTATTCAAAAGGTCATAAGCTCAACCAGTTCAAAAAATGTTGACCTCAGTGGTTTTTGGAAGAAGTATGTATTATATAAGTAAAGCTGGCTCCTGTGTCAGAGAAACCCCAGTGGCTTAACATCATAGACTAGAGACTAATTTTCCCTCACATAAAGGGAGGGGTAGTTTCTGCCTCAAAAAGTCAATCAAGGACACAGGTTGATGGAGGCTCTACTGCTTTAATGTAACCAATTTTCTCTGGAGGGTGATATCCAGCTGGCTCTGTGAAGTTTTTGATGGGCCAGGTTGGAAGTAGCATACGTTTCTTCCGTCTATATTCTGTTAGACAAAATTTAGTCCCATGTCCCCAGCTCAATACAAGATGATAGGGCAGACAATGTAGTTTCTGGTTGGCCAGTCACTTCTCAGCAACTCTACAGAGGAAAGGGAGTATGAACTTTTGATGAACAGATAGCAATCACCAACCACAAGTTCCCATAATCTCAGTGGGTAAGTAATGCACAATGACAAAGAATGCAAAAGGCAATCAGGGAAGCTAGGAAAATGGAAACATAGATGGCATCCAGCCACTGGGCTAAAGTAGGGACCAAGAGCATGGAAGAGAGAGCCATAAGAACATAACAGGAAAGCACAGAGCTGTGGTTTAGGATAGGACTCTGGTCCTGAAAGAGAGTTACAACTTATCACAAGGTAAATGTCAAAAATTTGGAGTAGGGACCTAAGAGAAATCCTGTTATATTTTTAGGCACTAAGCAGGGCAGGAGAAGGGAAGAAGAATTGTAAGTTGGAGGGATCATGGAATCAGGGTGGGAGAAGGGGATACCAAGACCTAGGTCTGATTGCTGAACAAGATATTTGAAACCGGTTTTCTAGAAGTCCTATGACTGGAACACTGGCACTAGCATATGGGCTAATTTCTAAGCTACTCACAAATGAGTGTGCTGGGGTTGTGGGCAGAGTTGAAAACAGTACCCAGGATATGTATTAGGAAAATGTGGCTAAGGAAATTGAAAACTACGTCTGCAAAGAGCATCACTCAAAATGAAAATGGGAATCACAATGTCTAATAATAAGAATATGCCATTTCCTGCACAATTGAGAGCCTCCAAAGAACCTCAGGAAACCAAATGGTAAGTCTTAGAATCAAGATTTCAGTGATTGACCTGTAGTTCTTCATATATTCTGATTGGCAGCAATGGTATACTTTCCAGTTGGGCATCCACTTTCAAGTTTGGTAAATCTAGGTCGAAATTGCAGCTGTTTAGGCAAATTATGTAATCTTTCTGAATCTCAGCTTCTGCATCTATAAAATGTAATTCATGCACATATTAGAGGTGTTGTTTTTGGCTTGAGAATTAAATGATATGAAGTATATGAAGGCACCTAGCATAGTAATTGACACATCATGGATGTTTACTATATGTTAATTTCCATCTCCATCTTCCTACCCACCAGTAGTGGGGTGGGTTATTGGAGACTCCCTAGGATCTTTTAAAGATTATTCCATAGATTCAGTCACTCTCATCCTCCCACCATCATATCTCATCCTTTACCCCACCCAAAATCCATACACTACAGTCATAGCCTAAGTGATATTTTAAAAATATAAATCTGAACAAGTCTTTTCCTATTAACTTGAGTCATTCATCAATTCATTTATCCCTTAAATAAATACCCATGTGCCATTTATAGTTCAATGTATTGGGGATGTAGTGGTGGGGAAAAAAAGACAATTTTTCTATTCTCATGTAGCCTACAATCTATTTGAGGGACATTAGACAGCAAACAAATAGGTAATATTACATGTTGACGTGTTCATTAAAGACTCATATAAATGAGAGGTGTTATTCTCATTAGTGATGTCTTTCATCAAAACAACTGGTTGTTCTCTCTCCAGTGGTTGCCCACCTGGTTATCCCACAGCCATAAGCACCGCAGTCTTGTCCTCATGGGCCTCTGCTGGGATGTGTGACTCTCACAGTGGTGAAGGGTAGCATGGAAAAGCAGAGAAACAATGAAGTCCTATATTGTGAGCATGGTCCACAAGGACCTGCAAGGTCTCACCTGTGTCCACCTCTCTATCCTCATCACCATCCACTGTCCCTTGGCTCTCTCTTTCAGTCACATCCTTGAATGTATGCTTCTTTCTGCTTTGGCACCTTTCTTCACCTTGATCATTTCACGATCACCCCCACTACTACCTCTCACTACTTTTATCATGTATAAATTGAATCAGTTTTAATGTCTGCCTGTCTATGGGGCCAGAGACCCTGTTTGGGTTCTTCTTGGGGCAATCCCTCCAGTTCCCATGAAGCACAGTACCTGGCACATTGGAACGATTTCAGTTAACATTTGTCATTGCCCAGGTGGTTCTGGACCGTAGGGGAAAGCTTGAAGGGAAAGAGCTTGCAGACTGGATCCTGAGCCCAAAGGCAGCCAGCCTCTGCAAGTGGCTGTTTTCCTCTCCCTCTAACTAAATACATTAAGTCTTAGGTACATTACCCAAGAATGTGTTCAATGCAAGGAGACAGATATCTTTATTATTACTTTTGCTTGAAAGTCCTAATTCTGTCACTGTATTAAGTCAGTGAAACATGACAGACTGACGTGTTATGCTAACACACTGCCTTTAAAAATAAGACACTGGGCCAGCCCTGGTGGCCTAGTGATTAAGTTTGTCATGCTCCGCTTTGGCAGCCCAGGTTCGGTTCATGGGTGCAGACCTACACCACTCATCTGACAGTGGCCATGCTGTGGCAGTGGCTCACATAAAAAAAGAGGAAGATTGGCAACAGATGTTAGCTCAGGGAGAATCTTTCTCAGCAAAAAAAGAAAAAAAAGACACCAAATTGTAAGTTTAATATTAAAATATCATTTTAATTTTTCAAGTAGTTCTGTTAGTGATGTAGACTTATTAGACCATTTTTTCTACTAGAAAAACAAAAACCCTTTCCAAATCTGAATTCCACTATTGGAGCATTCTAGGCAATTACAGTTTGAATTGAAATCTACCTTTTCTAATACTTAGAATAATAAACAAAGACAACCAATCAAAGATTTCCTATGGAAAGTCATTGTGTGAACTAAGGCATAGGGAGGCTAGGGAAGGAATGTTAACTACTTGGAGAAATCAAGTTGCATAAAGCATTAGGAAATCATCTAACTAGAATCCACTGACACATAAATATGGCACCAGTTATAAATCACCTCTAGCTAGTTTCTGAGGGTCTAGGAGGATACCTTCTTGAGAATCTCTTCTTGACCTTTAGATGTCTTGATCTCTTAAAATGTCAGATGTAATAATGTCTTTTAAAACATATTCCTTAATCCTGATATCTGACAAACCCTCCAGGGATCTAAATGTGTATGTATTCTGTCATTTCTTTATTCATTCAACAAAGATTTATAAAGTTTACACCTATTATCCTGGCACCTAATGGTGTCCTCTTTCATTGTCAAAAGTGGCAGTGTGGAAAATAAATTATATGGTGACCCTGCTATTTTGAGTTCTATTCTTGAAGGCAGGGCTGTAGAAGAAGCTGATTCTTATATTTGGCAAGTACTCATTGGAAGCTGTCTGAGAACGAGGCATTCTCCCAGGAGCTGAGGAGACACTGTGTATGGAACAGATAAGATCCCAGGCAAACAAAGTCCCCTGACTTCGTAAAACTAATGTACTAGTGGAAAATGGGACACTGATGACAAGACAGAGAAAAAATAAACAAGTAAATAAACACAAAAGTAATGGATGCTGGTGAGTGCTGTGATGAAGCAAAAACAGGTCATGGGAGAATAACAAGCATCTTGCAGGGGAGTGAGAGATGGGAGAAGAAAGGCCACTGAGGAGGTGATATTTTATGTCAAAATTGAATGACAAGGTGCTATAGTTCTTGTAACAAGTGTTTTATTTACTTGGCTGCTCAGAGTTCAGTCTCACAAGCATTTTTTGACTACCTGTTACATTCAAGGCTCTATATTAGGACCTACATGCCAAAATATAAAAAAGAGTATTTTTCTAACTATATTTGTTCCCAATCTCAATCTTAAAAAATAAATTGAACAGTACAAAGAAGAGGACACATGGCCCTTGAATTTTTAAACATCTACCCTCAGGACGCCGCTGAGACATCTTTTGTGGTTTTATTATATTACACCCCACCAGCCCCCAAACTTCCCCATTCCAGCCTTCCAACAGCAGTCTTAGAGCACCATCTTCTCTGATTGCCACTCCCCTCGCAGATAGATAGTAATATTTCCAAAATGAGAGAATTCTGTATTTAAAGATTTTATTTATTTATTTTTTCCCCCAAAGCCCCAGTAGATAGTTGTGTGTCATAGCTGCACATCCTTCTAGTTGCTGTATGTGGGACGCGGCCTCAGCATGGCCGGAGAAGCAGCGTGCTGGTGGGAGCCCGGGATCCGAACTCGGGTCGCCAGCAGCGGAGCGCGCTCACTTAACCACCAAGCCACGGGGCCGGCCCGAGAATTCTGTATTTAAATCACGCCTTTATCCTCACGCAGCACAACCTAAAAACAACGAGCAATAATGAAAAGCAGAAATGTATGGCACAGGTGAACTTGGTTCTTAAAAGAGCCCAAACTCTGGAGCTGACAATGTTGGAAACTATTATTGAGAAACATCTGTGACTTGTCTCTTCTAAGACAGTGTGCCAGCAGCTGTCTTTTGTACGAGCTGCTTTCTTTTTTCCAACTGGTCGTGGCAATGGGGCAGAGACCCAAGAGGAGATAGGGT